CCCCCCCCCCCCGATTTTGGTGCACACACATCGGGAGTAAAACCACGTCGTTAATACTTTTCACTTACATGATGGTCGTAGATCTCCACATAGAAGGTATATGGTCCTTTTGTGGTGTGAGGTGAAGAAATGTTGAATTGGATTGTGTCACGACCGGAACCGCTTCCACTGTGAATGTACTGTACTCGCCCTAGATCGACATCCCTTTGAGAGAACCGTCCCACGATGATCGAGGGGGTTGAGGTTGAGTTTTCTGAAATACAAAATGAGATTCTGGAGGTTGGTATCGAAGCTGTGCTTCTTCTTATCAGAATTGGCTCCCACATCATCTGACTGACAGTCATCCGGGTAATGAAAGGTCTACCTTAGACTTGCCAGAACCCAAAAAGAAAGGGAATTCTATTCAGTCCTCAACCTTTTAGAAATTTCCTACTCGAAGATCTCTCTAGATTTTTACCTACCTTGCTCTAAAACAAGTGCACCCTCTTGTGGTTGTTTGATGATACGATAGACAAGTTCATTGGCGGAACTGACTGCATCGCCGATTTCGAGATGATTCGAGTCGATCGTTCCGACTCCACCGACCGGCAACGTCAACGTAGACGATCGACGCAGTTCCAGGGAGGCACCGAGAGAGCGACGTAAAATTTGGACCTGGAAATCTTCAACTCCTGAAATTTTCCCGCTCTGTGGCAAAACCAGTTGTGTGTCATAAAGTCCAGTTTTTAGGAACAGATATAACGTTCTTATAAGCGAACATGCATTTAATAACGCGTGCAAATTTATGGCATCGCAGTGATAAACATTTAGTTAATCTAACAACATAGAAACGAGTAACTTCCAACGGGCTAAGGTGACCGCACAGTATGTCATAATTGGTTAGTTGTCTCGTCGTATTTCGTACCACGACGAGGCAAGTAACCAAAATAGCATTGAACATGCTACGCTTCACACGCTACGAGCCCCCCAACAGTCACACCCTTGTAGAAAATTATTACCATAAATGGGAAAATGGATAAAAACAGATCGGTGACGGACCTCTGCTTTGAGTGTTCGATTCGCGACGCGTACAGTCAACAACTCCATGACAGCCGAGTGAACGTTATAGGAGATTTTGCCATTATTGATATCCTGCAAGCATGGAAATTACGATCGCCCTTCTTTTCGATCAATAAGACGCTAATCGTACATCACTGACTTCCTTTGAAAAAAAAANNAAAAAAAATTAAAAAACAACATCCTAAAAAAAAGTGAATAAAAATGTCGAGAAAAGATTCTGAAGTGGGACCATTATGACTTCCAAACATGCTCTCATGAAAACGAGGCGGGTTGAAAAGCCATCGTAAGATATGAGCCATTTTGATGGCATTCTGTTTGAATCCATCGTTCGAGAATTCTAACGTCTAATCGCTTCATAGAATATGAAGTCAAAATTTACTTTTTATGAGCGTCTGTCTAGTGCTGAAGGATGGCCTTCACAATGTCCAGATGAGTCTAGGCACCAGAATTTTTTTTTTCAAATATAGCTGGACCGAAACTTTTCATTCCTTCAACTATACTTTGTAAAACTTATTGAAGTAACCAACTGCTGAACAGCTAAAAACCCATCGACAGTACCTTCTGAGTGAATGTTCTTATTGGCCGTCTGTACTTCTGGTATTGCATCACGAAGCTGTCCGACTGGCTTTGATACACAATGTCCTCAGGGCGAACGTCCAAATTCGTGATCACCGACAGATTTGCAGGACCGACGGCTGCAAGCTGTGAACAATGGATTGAGGCTGATGTGAAGCCTCATAAGACCTACGCAAGTTCGGGGTGTCTCCCGGTAGGCAGCAATACTCCAGCAAGCTTTCGCCAATACGGACAAATGGATCAGAAGCGACAATTCGCACCAGTCCTTCTACAGTATGCTTCTTGTCGCTTACAGTATAACTGAAAATTCAGAAGTTTATGGTTGCTCCTGCTCTGATAAGTATCCATAAGTTCTAATTCCAGCTACCGTAACCACGGACGAACCTTACGGTGAAATTGTTCTTGTGACCAAGATGACGCAACATCACCCTGCCGTTTATAAGATCCTGTTCAGTAAAGATCGTCATCGGCAGATACGGTGACACCGTAGACAGAACTGCTGCATCCTGGAAGCACGAGTCATTAGGTCCACCTTCTGATCGCACAAACATGGTCAAGCAAGGTCATATAAGCAATAATAGCTGAGAAAAGATGAACTCACTTTAATAGGTTGGTAGAAGTTAAACTGGAGTGGAGCGACACCGTCATGATCATCATCAACCCAATCGAGAAGATCTGGATGGAGAACGCGTTCACCTCGTTCCACGATCTGCAACTATGGTAATTAGCCGTAATGGGCTTTATCGGAGTGTCAACCAAAACCTCCCGGAAAACCGGCTTACATGGAAAGCACAACCCAACCTGCAAACGAACCTGTATGATATGGCTACCACGTAGACGAGGTCGATTATCGTTGACGGGAATGACAGAGAACGACATCCAAAATGGAATGCGCCGCCCTTTACGAAACGCTGACTCCGCGATCAAATGAAGGCGATCTGTACGTGATTCTGAACCCGAATGGGAATAGATCAATCTGAAAGTCTTTTTTTTATTCGACTATATTTTCGAAAGCAGCAGCTTGCACTGACATTCCTTGATCATAAGTTGTATCTACCCACAACTGCTGATCTTTGGGACCTAAAGCCCGCCCACGTTCGTGTCATGCACCCCCACCCCCTTCCCTCCTCCCCTCAACCAAGAATGGCAAGATTGTAGAAACAGTCATACAAAAATTAACAAGAATTGGTCTGACTATTTAAGGAATGGAGGTACGTACATATGCTCAACACTTCATGTAAAGTTTGATGAGCTTGACAAACCTTGCATGAGACTCAGTTCCGAGAAGGAACAAAACCAGTTCTGATCACTCAAACTGCTTTATTCTTAGGAACAGTTCAGAACTCTCCCCACGGGCCGAAGTGCTTGACCCAGCGGGAGTTGTTTACTGGGTGACATCTTTCAAGCTGCCAGTCCCACCTGTTTTAATGGCCCAGTCTTCATATTACATCTCGCCTTTCCTCCGCTCCCAAGTCCTCATATTACATCTCACCTTTCTTCGGCTATATCCCGAGTGGTGAAGTTCATTCCGGTACTGAGAGTTCTATTAGTGAAATTCGATGTTTTTAGAAGAAGAGATCCATGTGCTGGTGGCAGCGCAAGGGTGAACACGAAAAACGAGTCATCTGGGGTGGCCAAGGATAGGGAGTCCTGGGTGACCTGAAACGGTTCAACTTCAGACAAACAAATTCCAATTTCCTCTTTTTGTGGTCTAGGTTCAAGGACAATACACGCCACAAACTCGTCAAGTTCATATCCTTCCAATTGATCCAACATTATCTTTACTACTATCATTTCATCACTTTAATTTTTTGTAAATCACGGTTTTCCGCTTGAAAACGTACAACTACTCTTGTAACAAACTTTTGTTGTAACAATATGTAACTATTTTTGTTTACTTCAATTTCGTTATTTTCATTTTAGTTATTTGTTTTTGTCAAATCTGATATGTTTACCTATTGAATAGATACATTTGATAAGCATACCGTAGCCGAGTCGCCTTCCTGAACAACGACTGTTCGATTCACTAGTTGAATAGATGTTTGTGAAGGGATGAAGATAATCTAAATTGAAATCGCTTGAAAATCGGCAATATCAAGGCGCATGTAAACTGCATCAGTAAAACTGCGCCATGAATTTGATGCTTACTCAAAACTATAAAGGCATTACATATGCTGTTGGAACATTAATTTTCCTAATTCCCCTGCATTTCAGATAATGATTAGTCATCATCCCTGGAGTGGTAGATCTGGTTAGAACGTCCGTTGCGCGCGTCCGTTGAAAGTAGGTCACCCCGCCCACTTCGCGCGCGGCGCACCCCTCTGAGGTCTCGAGACGACACTACAGTACCATCAAGTGTCGGTGGAGCGAATGATTTGCATTTGTCCGTGTTATCTTCTCGTTGGCTCATTGTCGTGGACTGAGCGCAAGTCGTATGCCCCGCTGACAAGCGCGACATCTGTCAAAGATCGCGAGCTGACCCGCCGCATGCGATGGCTGCGGCGTGACCTAGTTTCTGCGGACGCGCGCAACGAAGCGCACCCGTAGACCTGGAGTGGTGAAAGCCCTTCAAGTTGATTACAATTCGATCTCTCAACTTCCGCAGATAGACGTGTGTATAGGGGTGTTAGACCTATGCAGCATACCGCGCGGCGATACAACTAGCTAAGATCGCCGTACGATGTAACCGAGCAAGCTTCATAGCTAACACAACTGTCTAAACTCGAAAACGAAAGGGAGATTGAGGGTTACATCGTGCTAGCATTCTATCAAGACGATCAGTATTCGGTTGCAGAGGCTTGAATGGAGAAAAGAAACGGCTGGCAAGCCGATATTCGACCTCGTGGGTAGATAAAGTGGGAAGCTGGAGTTTACGTCTGCACTCTATGTATTGTTTACAATGTTGAAACCAAAAAAGCAGACGTTCCACAAACCTCGAACCGTAGGGATTCTGAGGAAATAGCCGGTGTGATCACCCGAAACAAAAAGAAATCGTTGATGATGGAATATTGCATGAAATGTAACTTGAATGAGATCAATCTATTGTCAATGTCCTGAAAATGTTAGAAATTTGTTTTCGTCCGGGTAGAACCGCTTCTAAAAAAAACAACAAACTCACTGCTTGAGTGAAATTCGACGAAACACCGATTCTACGGCTTTTTCCATTGATTCTCCTTGACAGAATACCATATTTTGGTGGTTCTTCAATATGATAGACCAGTTTTTCAGGTGGATAGCTCTTGGGAAATGTCCATGCGAATAGGTTCCCTCGATTTAGCGTACCAGTTTCCGTACCGTTAAGCATGAACACTTCTCGGTTGAACACCTGAATGCTCATTCTTGATGAAGCTGTCACCAAGATCCCACACGTTCTTTGAATCCCCCCATATGTTTCAAGGTATTTGCGACTAAGCTCCCGTACTCCCCTGCTCCTTGCTCCCACAACCGAAGCGGGATGCCTGGCGTCTTCCCTCTAGTTTCATGGGTTCATCATAACTTAAGGATTTTACCGACCCGACATTGGCATGTGCGTTTGCTAATAAGCTATCATAAATAGCCAGCTTAAAAGTAAGAGGTATCCGTTGGATTTTAGCAGTGTAAAGGATAGATACGGTGTCCGGAAAACATAAGGTAAGGTCGACCCCTTTCGTACAACGACATACAACGACTTCCTGCGCCTAAGCCAGCCTGCCTCCTCTTGAATATTTATCTTTTATTCTGCCATCATTATGCTAACCAGAGGTCAAAATCTTAGACATCAGTAGCTCCCCGGGAATTCAAATAAAAGCAGTTTTCGTTAACATACTCTACTGCCAGTCGCCTATTTGGAATCAGAACTAATTGGCTATCTGTTTCAATGCCAATAAAACTTCGGATTGACTTACCTTCACATTCATAGGAATAAACATTAGTCGAAAGTTATGAATCATCGATACAAATTCTCCCGACTCCACCTGAAAGTGTATGGTGAGCAAGTAATGATTGAAATCCATTTTATGCGACCTCTATGGGAAAATCATTTTTGAAAATGAATATTCAAAAAAAAAATAAATTGATAAAATGAAACTACCTGGAAACTGAACATATCCTGTGTTGGATGGTGGCTGCTAGTGTGTCGAAATCGAACGAGGCCCTTGTCTATCTGAAGTTAGAAGATCCTAGAGGAGACTAGGTTTTTACCCTCTAGGGCATTCTACCGAGGTGAAAACACTTCCAGGAAAAAGATAGGCCAAAATAGATGGGGTTTCCTGTAAGAGGTCCCTAGTGACTACACGCGGCCCCTATTTGATATAAATAAGTGGGAGGGCAAGTTGTGTGTCACGGCAATGTTTGTTGTGGGCGGCTAAACTAGTTGTGCTAACAGAAGTAGTTTGTGGGTAGACAAGAATAACGTCCTCGGTGCATGGTAAATAAATAAGTAAGTAGATAAGTTGGTCGGAAAGGATGATAAAGGTATCGAAGTTTTAAAGGTTACCTGTTCCTGTGTAAATGTACTACAGACGGCAAAATGTCCATTACTCGGGCTACACTCTACAACACCATGATCAGGTAATCCGACAATGGAGAACGACAACGGTAGATCGGGTACAGAGGCAGTAAATGAGAGATTACTGAAAGGCATACTGTACAGGTTAGTCAGAGTGGGTAAGCCAAGCCTCAGACACTCACTTCGATGTAATAAGAGCAGATGAATGGTGGAGTAAACGAACGCCGGTGTTCGTTTTCAAGCGTACCTCAACTGGAGTGCTGATTGTATGCAATGTGAGTACCTGAATGAGTAATTTCTGTAATTTGTATTGAACCATCATAAACCCAACTTATTACCCTCTTTCAATCTGCACAACTTACTGCATTTTGATCGTAAATCGATATTTTCGGTCGATAATTACTAAGAACTAAAATTGACATCCTGCTACCATAGAGTTAAAGGCGTATCAAGAGCCTTCCTACCCCTCTCCTCCAGCTCCCCCTCCTCTCTCCCATACTAGCTCCCTATACCTAATCCACCTT